ACACACACACACACACACACATACAGTGTGTCTGTGTGTCTGTGTGTGTGTGTGTGTGTATACATGCATATGTATATATGTATATATTCTACAATTTCACTTTTCTAACTGAAAGTGTGTGTGTGTGTGTGTGTGTGTGTGTGTAATCAGATACCTGCTTGTATAGTGAGCTGGCCAAAGGAGGACATGGAGGCTGCCAATGTGAAGACCTGGAAGTTCCTCACAATGTACAGAGGTTTCCACCCTAAGCCCAACACCTTTGCACAACAGCCAGAAAGCGAGCGGCGGGGTCCTATGAGTGTCAAAGCCACTGTCATGGATGAAACCTGGAGCATCCAGGAGTACATCACTAAGATGGCACGCAAAGGTGAGCTGCTGAGAGAATGAGGTTTTGTAACTGAAAGAATATAGATTTCATCTTGAGAAGTCAATCAGTATCAATAGAGATGTGTTCCTAACTGAGATTTTAATCTTCATGGGTCAGTAATTAGGACTATGAATCCTCTCTAGGGGTTCCTGTCTCTCTTTTTGTTTCTGCCAAAGACAAGTGGTGCCAGATCCCTTTGACTTTTGTGCACTGTTACCATCTAGTGTGTAATCACGCTGTTACAGACCAATTCTGGTAGCCCTATATACATGGGATATGGAAATCCATGTAAAGTCCAGGGAATATCTCAATTTCTTTATTTTTCATTATGGGTTGCATCATACATAGCACCTTCAGAAAACTTTCAAGATATTCTGGGAATCTCTATAAAATGTATCCAAGTGAGAGTGCTCATTATAGGAGCCATCCTGAACTTCTAGGTCTTCCAATTTTTAGCATCTCATGAACATGTACAGATTTGAATGTAATGCAAATCTCATGAAAAACATTCTTCAGAAGTTACTAATCTGTTCTGATAACTTTCCCCACTGGCATTCTTTGGTTTAGGGTGTTACAAACCTGGCCTAATTGCACCCTGAGAATAAGCTGAAAACTCTCTGTGCAATACCAGGAAAAACATATTGTTTTTCCTCATTGCTTTGAATAATGAAGAACTATCCTGTAATCATCTGTCCTGTCTTTATAATATTGATTGACTTCTTTCAATTTGAAATTGTAAAAGACAACAGGACATTGCCAGTCTGCCAGTTTAACACTACAGGATGCTTCAAACATTCCCTTTCAAATGAACTCAATAGGTAGAAGTTTGTTCTCAACTTCCTTGGCTTTCCAGTTGAATCCTGGCTATTCATTTGGAGAATATTCCAAGAGTCATGGGAGACGTGAATAGTTTTTTTACAGGAAAATTTTCATATGTTACAGTTTGGATGTTGGTCTTAGGGATACTTCCTAGGAGTGTTTGCAAAATTTCTTTTTCAAAAGGCACTAGCAGTGACCCCAGTCCATTTCTTCATAACTACCATGAACCAGGGGACCTCATTCTTGGTGGTATAAGTTCTCTGAGCTTTTTACCTTCAGAGAAGATCACGTTCAGAAGACATCCTTTTGAAGACTTTTTTCTTGAATTTATGTAAGGAGTTGGATGCTTTTGAGCTCTATTGTATATCTAGCCTGGCAATCCTCAGAAGTTATGACAGGATAGTTTGCTTATTGTTTCGTGTGGAAAGGGAGGTGGGGTGGGGAAAATCTGCTTGCACATGATTCTTTCTTCCTCATTTCACCAATCTAGAGAAGAAGGAGCAGCAGCTGGAAGATTAACATTGGAAATAATATTTAAAAGCATACACACAGACACACAAGCCTCTATCAACCTTCTATCTATCTATCTATCTATCTATCTGTCTGTCTGTCTGTCTGTCTGTCTGTCTGTCTGTCTGTCTGTCTGTCCGTCCGTCCATCCATCCATCATCTATCTAAGCAGTTCTTGTGGAAGTCAACATTTTAAAAGTTATATGTCAATCTTTTGTCTGTGAACGAGTGTAGAATCAAAGATCCAATCTCCTTCACTTTCTGCTTTCCAAGAGATAGGTGATAGAGAGACAGATAATATGTATTCCAGTCAATGACCAGATAAAACAAAACATATATACACAAATTACAGGAGAAAGCTTGCCAAGAGTAATTTTTGACTTGGCAATTTTTTAACTCTACAAAGGTAGCCATTTCTTACTACCTTTGAAAAATCACCAAGTATTTTATTTTAGAAAGACCAGAAGAGTTTCTCATTTCTACAAACTCTCCCTTGGAGCTCCTGAAGTTTACATAGAAAGGACAACTGCCTTCACATTAGCTCTTTTTTTTTTTCCTTAGGGAATGATCCACATTTAAAAATGGGTAGCATTACTTTTGCCATGGATCTGCTGAAAAAATCTATACGACAAATTTTGTACAAGTACAATTAATTTTGAAATTATATTTTAAATATTTAGCTGTTACCTTCCAAATTAATGGTAGTACATATCTGGAGATATTTCCAGTATATTTGATATGAAATCAGATAGTAACCAAGCTCAGAGTTATTAATATTGCAAGTGGGTCTCTCAGCAAGCAATTGTACTGAAGGGATTTATTATTTTTTAATTGAATTGCAGATTCCTAACTCAGACCTATCAACACATCTTGGCTTTCGTGTTTGCTGTAAAGGAGATTAATGGAAATCCCCAGATCTTAACCAATGTCACCCTTGGATTCAACATCTATAGCAACTATTTTAATCCAAAATTTACATATGTAGCCACAATGGAAATTCTCTCCACACCAGATAGATTCATCCCAAACTATAAATGTGATTTCAAGAACAATCTGGTAGCCGTCATTGGAG